GACCTAATTCTCTATCATACCTGTATGTGTCGTGGGGGGGGGGGAGAGGGAATTAATTGTTGTCCTTGCTTTTGTTCACTTGCTGTTGTTGTTACACTGTTATTGTAACAGCTGCTGTTGTTGTTACACTGTTATTGCAACAGCTGCTGTTGTTGTTACACTGTTATTGTAACAGCTGCTGTTGTTGTTACATTGTTATTGTAACAGCTGCTGTTGTTGTTACACTGTTATTGTAACAGCTGCTGTTGTTGTTACATTGTTATTGTAACAGCTGCTGTTGTTGTTACACTGTTATTGTAACAGCTGCTGTTGTTGTTACACTGTTATTGCAACAGCTGCTGTTGTTGTTACACTGTTATTGCAACAGCTGCTGTTGTTGTTACATTGTTATTGCAACAGCTGCTGTTGTTGTTACACTGTTATTGTAACAGCTGCTGTTGTTGTTACATTGTTATTGCAACAGCTGCTGTTGTTGTTACACTGTTATTGCAACAGCTGCTGTTGTTGTTACACTGTTATTGTAACAGCTGCTGTTGTTGTTACACTGTTATTGCAACAGCTGCTGTTGTTGTTACACTGTTATTGCAACAGCTGCTGTTGTTGTTACATTGTTATTGCAACAGCTGCTGTTGTTGTTACATTGTTATTGTAACAGCTGCTGTTGTTGTTACATTGTTATTGTAACAGCTGCTGTTGTTGTTACACTGTTATTGTAACAGCTGCTGTTGTTGTTACACTGTTATTGCAACAGCTGCTGTTGTTGTTACATTGTTATTGTAACAGCTGCTGTTGTTGTTACACTGTTATTGTAACAGCTGCTGTTGTTGTTACACTGTTATTGCAACAGCTGCTGTTGTTGTTACACTGTTATTGCAACAGCTGCTGTTGTTGTTACATTGTTATTGCAACAGCTGCTGTTGTTGTTACATTGTTATTGCAACAGTTACTGTTGTTGTTACATTGTTATTGCAACAGCTGCTGTTGTTGTTACATTGTTATTGCAACAGCTGCTGTTGTTGTTACATTGTTATTGCAACAGTTACTGTTGTTGTTACATTGTTATTGTAACAGCTGCTGTTGTTGTTACATTGTTATTGTAACAGCTGCTGTTGTTGTTACACTGTTATTGTAACAGCTGCTGTTGTTGTTACACTGTTATTGCAACAGCTGCTGTTGTTGTTACACTGTTATTGCAACAGTTACTGTTGTTGTTACACTGTTATTGCAACAGCTGCTGTTGTTGTTACATTGTTATTGCAACAGCTGCTGTTGTTGTTACACTGTTATTGCAACAGCTGCTGTTGTTGTTGCTGCTCATCACTTGTCTTGTTGTCTTGCTCTGTTTTGTAACTGTTTTTAATTTATTCCGCTGTTGATTTTTTTTTTTGCTGTTGTTGGCTTTTGTTTTTTTATACTTTTTGCTGTTTTTCTTGTATTTTTGAACTTCAAGTAACGCGGGAAAATATTTTTGAGGGCGTTGTCAACTGGAAATAATGAACCCTAACTGGATTTTAACTTAGTTACCTGCGATGATTTACAGGAAATTGGGCTCATTATTCTGAGCTGGCAACACTAAATGCCAGTAATACCATTTAGCCAATCAACTGCTCGCTTGCATGCGATGCTTCGTACGTAATTGTTCGTTAACCAATGAACGCCTCGTTTACTGGTGAAGAGTCTGACGTTAACATTGCCTGACGAGTGAGCTAATGCCTCTCGTTGCTAGAGGCAGCAGTTTGTCGAGCAATGAACGTCTTTCTTACACAGGGGATAAATGGGGGACTTCCTTAGCCAATCACCAGTTGACTTACAATCGTGGGTGATGACGCGTTCCTGAGCCAATGGTAGTCGACATACCTTGTTCAGATCACCTAAACCATCCCCGAAATCACTACCATCACCACCACAATCACCACCATCATCACCACCATCACCACCATCACCTAATCTCCCTCTCCCTCACCCCACAGGCGTCAATGAGCGGGCTGAGGATCCAGATGGCTCCGTCTATCCACCACCAGGCGGCGGCCATGTTGAGTATCCTGGTGAGGTACCAGTGGCACGCCTTCACTATAGTCACGTCCCACATCGCTGGCCACACAGACTTCGTGCAGACCGTCAGGGACCAGGTCCACCAGTACGGCGACAAGCAGGACCTCTCCAAACCCAACATCAAGTGAGTTCTTGCTTTCCTGAGGAGGAAAAAATGGATAAATCGTCACTATTTGGAAACTTTAATGGTGTAAGGAGAGGAAATTTGGGTTAGGAATATCAGTGGTTGCATAAACTTGATTTGTTTACATCACAAAATCTATTTATTTTCTGCTGTGGCAGCCCATCATTGCCCCTTTTCCCTTAGGGTGGTGAGGCTCCCCTATTCTGGTCTACCCATTTACACAACACACCCCTTCACTACCCTTCACAACCACCCCTCACTATCACCCTCTTACCCACACCTCACTAGCAGATATCAAGCAGTAAATAGTTTAGAACTTAAACCCGCATCTTGCTTGACTCCATTTTTAGTGAGAAATATTCAGAAGGAATACTTCTCCATTTCACAGATAACTTGCACACCTAATTAGAAATCTATGTAGCAATGGCAGGACTTACTTTCTGTTACACATTTCTCTAAAACAGTTTTGATGTGTTCAAGTTTGTCAAACTCTTCGATAGCATCAAGAAAGAGAGAGAGATCAGAGCTGCCTTCTGAGTCCCACTACTGAATAGTTACCTCCACCACCAAACTACACAGTGCTGTTGAATAACCAGTTTGGTAGGCCAATTAGCGGTCACAGTCGACTAGAGCGCGCCTGGGAACACCCTGTGCATGGATTCGATCCCTCATCACGGCTCCTGTGGATTTGTTCAATAGTTCTATACCTGGTTGATGGGGTTCTGGGAGTTGTTCTACTTCCTAAGCCCGGCCCGAGGCCAGGCTTGACTTGTGAGAGTTTGGTCCACCAGGCTGTTGCTTGGAGCGGCCTGCAGGCCCACATACCCACCACAGCCCGGTTGGTCCGGAACTCTTTGAAGGAACTATCTAGTTTTCTCTTGAAGATGTCCACGGTTGTTCCGGCAATATTTCTTATGCTTGCTGGGAGGACGTTGAACAACCGCGGACCTCTGATGTTTATACAGTGTTCTCTGATTGTGCCTATGGCACCTCTGCTCTTCACTGGACCTCTGATGTTTATACAGTGTTCTCTGATTGTGCCTATGGCACCTCTGCTCTTCACTGGACCTCTGATGTTTATACAGTGTTCTCTGATTGTGCCTATGGCACCTCTGCTCTTCACTGGACCTCTGATGTTTATACAGTGTTCTCTGATTGTACCTATGGCACCTCTGCTCTTCACTGGTTCTATTCTGCATTTTCTTCCATATCGTTCACTCCAGTATGTTGTTATTTTACTGTGTAGATTTGGGACCTGGCCCTCCAGAATTTTCCACGTGTATATTATTTGGTATCTCTCTCGTCTCCTTTCTAGTGAGTACATTTGGAGAGCTTTGAGACGATCCCAATAATTTAGGTGCTTTATCGCGTCTATGCGTGCCGTATATGTTCTCTGTATTCCCTCTATTTCAGCAATCTCTCCTGCTCTGAAGGGGGAAGTGAGTACTGAGCAGTATTCAAGACGAGACAACACAAGTGACTTGAAGAGTACAACCATTGTGATGGGATCCCTGGATTTGAAAGTTCTCGTAATCCATCCTATCATTTTTCTGGCTGACGCAATATTTGCTTGGTTATGCTCCCTTAACGTTAGGTCGTCAGACATCATTATTCCCAAATCCTGGACATGCTGTTTTCCTACTATGGGCAGATTTGATTTGATTTTGTACCCTGTATTATGTTTAAGATCCTCATTTTTACCGTACCTGAGTACCTGGAATTTATCACTGTTAAACATCATGTTATTTTCAATTGCCCAGTCGAAAACTTTATTAATTTCTGCTTGAAATTATTCAATATTATCAGCAGAGAAAAATAATTACATGAAAATCATTTTCATGCTGATTTTTGTATCATCTGCAAAGGATGACACGAAGCTGTGACTTGTATTTTTGTCTATATCTGATATGAGAATAAGGAACAGCAGTGGTGCAAGGACTGTACCCTGAGGTACAGAGCTTTTAACTGCACTTAGACTCGATTTTATATAGTTTACTGTTACTCTCTGTGTTCTGTTCGACAGAAAACTGAATATCCAGCGTCGTGCTTTATCAGTTATTCCCATTGACCTCATTTTGTGTGCTATCACCCCATAATCACATTTATCGAATGCCTTTGCGAAGTCCGTGTATCCCACATCAGCATTCTGTTTGAACATTCTATAGTTATCAGACTTTACGAACGCTACCCAGTTATTTGGCATAGGAACAAATACAGAGAATGGGTGACAAAGCCTGTATCACATACATAGACATACAGTTTCAGTCATACCATTTTAAAGAGAGTATGGTAATACCTATTTTCTAGCTTACATACTCCTCTCTCAACCATTACAAAGGGTTAAAGGGTACAGATGTTAAACGTTAAGGGGCAGGGTGCATTCACATACCCTACCCCCCCCCCCCCTGCCCCTGACCCGCCCCCCTTACCCATCCCTTGCCCGAGATAAGGGGAAGAGCGAGACAAGAGTAATGGTTGGAGCCGTACAGGAGAAAGGACAATATCCTCCGGTCAGGCGGTTGTTAATGGTCAGTGGAAAAGGGTTGAGAAACGGGACGGAAATGGGACGGGAGGAAAAGGTAATGGGACGTGAAAAGGCGAAATGGGATGAAAGAGAAATAGGGACACAGAAAAAAAAGAAGGAATTTAATGGGAAGGAATAATTTGGATCGTATTGGACTGAATAATTTAGTGTGGGTGTGTACCTGTCAGGTGTGGAATCGTGTTTGATATTGTCTTCGGGTGTGTAGTCATGTTTGGTGGTGTCTACAGGTGTGTAACCATACTTGAGGTTTATAAATAATTGTTAATTGGGCTATAGAGT